ATTTCCAAAAGAAGCAGAAGCTGCAAGGGAAATTAATTTTCTTTCCCATAAGAGAAGTGAGTGATTACTAACCACTTTCCAAGAACTCACAACTCTGACTGGTAAGAAAAGGAGTGTTTTTTTCCTGGTAACTTACTTGGCAGGAATTTCTTGTGGTGATGCAAACCCATGCCACAAAACATTACGAAGGTTCAGACCATGTGGAGATCCAATGAATACCCTCAGTACATTCATCTAATTAATAAACAAAGAAATTACTGCATGAAGAAATCTATTATTTTTTTCCTTTCTTAACCTTCTTACTTTTATTATCTTTCCCTGGCAGAAAAGTTCAGAAATCATTAAGAAACTACAATGTCTACTGTCAAGATGACTAGCCACCACTTATCATAGTAACAGAAACTCATTAATTGCAATTCCCACTGTTCTCTGAAGGAGAAACTTTCAGCTGATTTGTACAAGATATAGAATATAATACGGGAAGAATCAAACAAGTTATTAAATATCCCAAACAGTTATGACATGCAAGCAAATGAGATCAAGTTTATCGCTTAGTGCTTGTAGTATAAATCTAGTGTAATTTAGTGCAAATTAACACAAGGTACATTTGGTAGGAAGAAAACCAACTCAGTAGTTATTCCTTATTTCAAAACTATGTACTTACTACAGCTTGTCCAAAGACATCTGCAAGTTGCTCAGATGCAAGTAAGTCTCTTAGAAGGAAAGGACAATCATTGCCCTTAAGTAAATACACCTATTAAGAAAAAAAGGGCAGAACAGATAATAAATAATTTAGTATACTTTGTATCTCAAACATCTAATTTGACTATTTCACACAATAACAATTTTCGTTATTGTAAAAACACTAATCAAACAAAACCCACTAAATCCTTAAAAAGGCTTTAAATTCTGCAATTGCACGACAAATTAAAATCTAGACAACACATCAGGGAAGAGTGGATATTTTGCTTAATGTGACCATAATTAGGCTTTTCACAGAGTTTGTACTTATACTGTTTTTTTCTCCAAAAATCCCACAAAAAACAATAAGGCACAACCTGAGTAAGGCACAACCTTATTAAGAATACCTAAACTCTATCAAGGACAGCATATTTCATTTTTACAATAGAAATTTATAGGATCTATCATTGTGAAAGGGAGGAGACTTGTGGTTTGTTTTGTGACTCAGACTGTTCTTCAAACTAGGTTTTATCCTTGTTGGACAATATTAGCACCTCAAGCTTCAACTGCTATCACACCTTCCATTCTTGGTACTCTCCCTGACATTCTTTTCCAATCTTTGGTGATCTGTTATACTGAAAAATTTACCATGCCCCACATTTGGGCAAATTTGTTTGTGAGTTAGCCCATTGCTCTTTCTCTGTCATTCTTTTCTCCAGAGCTCCTTACACATGTTGAACAACTAGCCATTTTAACTTACCTGGCTGTAAAACAGCCCAGCAGCAAAAACTGTTTAAGTAGATGTTTCTCCCTTCTCCCTGGGCAAGAAGTTATCCAGCAGCCTGTCTTTCCAGCTGCATGCTACCCCTCACAGAAGTTAATACACCACCAGATCATCTGTGGAAGCTATGATACTCCACTTCAGTTAAATAAATGAAACTAATAAAGACCTACTGTGTACACTGATCAATAGAATGCTTATCTTTCCTAATTAATTTTGTTAGTAACAGCACTCGCACAAACAACTGTACAAGCACTGGTGAAGGAGCTCCACATATGTTTCCATCAGCACAACTGGATCCAGGAAAGAACCTCTGTCCAACTCAAAATGCATGTGGACTATTAGTTTACTAGTACAAAACAGGGTAATATCACTTTTTACAATGTACAATTAAATCCAAGAGCTCATTCCCATCTTATAAAGCCAAATCTGCAATAGACTCCTCATGCTGGCACTTACGTCACCCAAGGCACGCTCCAAGCATGATGTTAGTTTCATTAAGCCAAGAGCAACTTCTGTAGCTTGTGTAGATTGCAAAACATCAAACACTTCCAGAAATACCTGCATAATGGGGGAGAAGAAGAATGTTGTGCTCACTATTTAAAATGAAAGATCACATAGCCAATAGCACAGAGAAATGTGAATATTCCTCCATGATAGTTGCTATGCAAATGTAGAAAGAAAACCATGCCAAATAAATGAAAATGTAGATACCTGGAGAGAAATTTCCCTAGAGTACCTCTTGATATCTAGTGCCTTACATATTTAAAATTATCCATGATAACTTTCCAAGGTGAAACTTGGCATTAGGCACAGATTATTAGAAAAACAAAATTACAAGCAACCATCTATCAGAGAAGGACAATTAGTTACAAATTCTAAGCAGTTTGGTTCATGGATATCTGTTCTGTGTTCTCACACTAAACTTCCACAAAAAGTTCAAGTGCCAAAATACAAACTTAACAGAAATTTCCATACCTCTGTGCAGTTTGTCCAGTGGAACCATGATGTATACTGAATTACAAACTGATCCTTGGTCAGAGATTTGAAGTACGAATTAACAGATTCACAGACAGGTCCTAATGATCGTATGCTTTTGATATAATCCACGCTTTGATCTTAAATTGAAAAATTGAAGATGATTAGGGTACCAACCTTCCTGAAAGTCTAATATTTTAAAAATCACCCACAGTTTGTGTACATATTTAACACCGACAGTTTTATCCTGACAATTTTAGTACAACCAATACAAGACAATTTACACCAAAACAGCACACAGAAAAGGTACTGAAAAGTAAAACTGCAATGCAAAACCAGGTAACATCAAGCACCTTCTCCGAACAGAACTAAAAAAACCCACAAAAATAGTATCCCAACAGAAACTTAACACAAGAAAATATGGAAATAAATAGGATCATTATGTTCTGCTTCTGTTGAAATATAAAGAACCTGCTAGAATTTCTATAGAAATCCCATATATCAAGCTGGAAGCTAGTGCAGGCTCAGTGAGAGTCAAACTGCACCACTTATGGCCTTTAAAGAAGGCAGATGGATGTGGTACCTTACAGAGTGGTATCATTGCCTCTTTTTCATGAGACACTTTTTCTAGGAAAATAAATTCTTCTGGTTTACTGAAAGATATTTCTACCACCTCTGGAAATTTATAACAGAGCTTGCATGATGCAATTTACAAATTAAAATTCTATTAATTCCTCAGGACATCAGGACATAAATACTTTGTTTTGGCTAAAAAACAAAAACAAACTATTCCACATAGAAGGGAAAAAAGACCATACTTCTGTACAACCTAAAGCTGGGAAACACAAACAGAAGCAACAGTAACAATATTGATGGCCCCAGGCTTTTAAATTTAGTGCAAAAGCACTATAAAGAAAACAGAACAGGACAATTATGTGGTTGGAGAGAAGCAGAACTGAATCCCTTATGTAACAGGCACATTTAGCTGGGAACCAAGATGAAGGCAAAGTAGGAACTACTTAGGTAGAACAGATTGCACGACCCTTAGGAGCCAGCAAAAGCCAAATACCAAATGCACATGAAAAATTTAAAGCTCTTTGTAGGTATGAACTCTACATACATATGCAGCAGAGCTAGTAGTGTACTGTAACAAACTGTCACAACTCAGCTAGGATTGTTATGAGCTGTACTGAAATTCTGCATCAGTCTTACATGCATCACTACTACAGCAGGCAAACACCAACCTGATTCAAGGTAACACACATGCTCTGTAACAGCTTGCCAACATACTTCCCCGTTTTCAGATAAAATGTTATCAATATCATGGGTGTCTTTCTTCTCAAATCCAAGTTTGCAAATTGCATAATGCACAGGTTGAGAAAGGCAAGTAGTGACCGAGTCTGGCAATGCCATCTAGAACAAGCACACACACACAGAGAAAGAATCCTTTTAACAAGAAAGCACATGAGAACAAAAAACTTATTAAAACATACCCATCAGCACAGTTATATGGTGTCTATAAAGAAGCTGTTTGGGTTTGCAATGCAAGTTTCATTCTCATACATGATGAAAGGAACTCTCAACCAGGAACACCTTCATAAAACTGAGGGAAAGCATTGCTCTGTTTTCACAAGGTCAGGATGGTGTATTTCATGACAAGATAGACTGAAGCAAAATATCCCAGTTTATATAGAAATGTTCTGCCTAATCTCTGAGCTTGCAGAGAAACTCATGCTACTTCAAGTAAACCAAGAGTGTCAGTCCTTACAACCAGCAAGATCCTTGGAGGGAGGCAGAGGAAGAATACATTAATTCTGTAGCAATGCTACTGCAATTTAAGCATTCATGCTATTTGCACATTAGTCTAAACAGAAATATCAACTGATATAAAAGCACACATTTAAATTTTTAAAATTGCACAGATAAAACTGCCCATGTTAACAAGCAGGAAAATGCTTCTGATTTAGTTAAAATAATCACACTTCTTCACTCATTAGATAGACAAGAAATTTATAATAATAAAGTACCACAACTAATAATAATTAAAAATATGCCATTAAAGTCAAATTAAAAACATTTTTCCTCTCTAATTGGGTGGCAGAATTAACCCTCACATATGTAATTTCTGAATTCATGGCTTCAAGGAGAGAAGAAATATTTATATGGCTATCAGGACTAAGCAAGGGTAACAGTTCCCGTCGGAAACCACTATTAGCTGCCATCTGGAGTACCTACCTGCTATTTAAAGAAAAACGAATTTAAACATCTACAATGTTCCTAAGATTATATCTTAGGATATATCATTCAGTCCATCTTAATTTGTGTCTGTTCCCCTTCCCGTTCGCCGTTTCACTGTCAAGCACAGAAGGCCAGAGCAAGCCCTGCACCACCGCTGCCACCCTTTACCACTATCGTTCCTGCAAAGCGGGCCTGGCACGGGGCAGGGAGGTGACCTCCGCAGGGAGGGCAGGCCAGCAGCCCCGGGGTGGCGCTGCAAGGAGCAGGGCAGGGCTCTCCCCTCCCCGCAGCGCCGGCCCTTTCCCGGGGCCCGGCCCTTTCCCGGGGCCCGGCGCCGCCGGTCCCGCCATGGCCGCCGCCGTCTCCGTTACCGCCGCCCGCGCGGCGCGTCACGGCCGGCTCGCGGGCAGGGCCCGGGCCGCCGCACCCGCACAGCGGGGCTGCCACCACGGCCATGGAGGGAGGGAAAAAGCGCCAGGATAAAGACACGGTGAGCGGCCGCCAGGGCTGAGCCGGCCGGGGCTGGGGCACCGCCGGGAGCGGGGGCAGTGGCCCCGGCGCGGGAGGGTGCGATGCCCGACTTGGGGGGGTGTGGTGGTCCGGGCCTGCCGCGCTTCAGTTGGGAGAGATGGATGGGGCGCGGAGAAGGTGGGTTAAAGGGTGCGTGTGATTTTGTGAAAATTGGTATCGGGAATTCTTGGTCTCGGTTAGCGGCCGGTTTGGGATAGCGCGTGCTCTCCCTGCCCGGCCAGGCGCGATGCCCGCTCGCGCCCTGCAGGTGGCGCGCCGGCTCAGGCGCCGCGGGGCCGAGCTGCTGTGATGGCAACGAGAAGGGGCGTCCTGCCTTCGGTGGGGCAGCCTCGCCAACCTGGGGTGCTGCTCTGAGCTAGAAGCCGTGCCCTCTTCTGAAGGAATACACAAGAACTCTTTTTTGTTTGTTTTAACAATTAAAACCTATTGGTTGTTAAAATGGACTTAATAGCAAACAGAATTTAATTTAAATAGCAAAAGCATTTTTTCTTCTTTTTTTCTCTTGGCATACTTCCTTCCATATGTCCAAAGTTAAGCCAATGTACTCGAGTTGAGTAGCCTAAGAACAAGCGTTTTTTGGTCAAGTGCTCAAATGCAGTCAGTTCTTGAACATCTGAGAGTTTCATTCACAGAAGGTGCAAATATTTTACAGAAACGTAATTGCAACATTGTGCTAAAACTTGGGGGTTTACTGTGGATTCTATACAGTGATATACAGAAGTAGGTTTATTTACTAGCCACATCTATAGTGAAATCAAGGTTTTTGGTTGCCTCATTAGAAAATGCAATGACTTCTTGCAAGTGATTATGAAAACTCCTGTCACTAATAATAGCAGGTAAACTTTTAAGTACGGCCATTGTTAGAAGTTGTATGCTATAGACATGATTTTTTTTCCATCATTGTTGTAAGAGGTTGAAGGTAGTGTGGCTCAAGCTGAACCACGTCAGCAAAGAATCACTGGATAGCACCTTTTTTCACAAGTTAATTGCTACTCACATGGATGGGGATGCTCATTTGAAGACCTCAGCTGCAAGACTTGAGGTGTTTTTTCTAATGTTAGGTGACGTGTGATGAGCATGTCAGGGTGGTAGTCTTTTGAGATCTGAGTTTGCAGGTAGTAGATAATGAGTGTCCACACGATAAAGTGCAAATGTGTTTGGTCCCTGTGATTTAGAGTAAGTGCTATTCAGAGTTCAACAAACACCAGCAGGCAATTTGCACTAAGGCTGCCAACATCACTGCTTTTAAGGAACTAGAGGACACTTTAATGTAATGTCCACAGCTTTTGACAAGAAAGAATGTGCAAGTGATTTCGTGGAGAAGAAACTGCATTTCTTCCCTGATTCTTAAAACTCCTCAGATGGAAAGAGTTGTGAGCCCCTGAGTAGCATGTCTTCTAAAATAATTCTCATTAGACTTTTATATTATCCATAAGTGACTTTTTTTCTGTACTTCTTAGCATAAGCCTTGCATTGTGATGTTATTTCACCTTTGCGTTCTTTTCTGCTCTCCTGGAAAGGAACTGATGATTGTCTCTCAATGTTAGATTGTAGCAGTAGTCAGGAAGTGGAGCTGAGACTGAAGAGTCGGTGAAACTTGGAAGTGGTTTGTTACGAAGTAGCTGGAATGGAAGACCATTGCCTGTGGCAATTGTTAGGTTCTCATTGGTTCCTTGTGCTTTTCTGTATGTTACTATTTTACAGTTCTATTTTAAGCCATCTTGGTGGACAGCAGGTGACATTTTTTTTTGCAACATCAGACTTGTTTCTTGCATTCATAGAGGCACAAGTTTTGTTATGTGGGTTGCTGAGATAGAGTACATAGCTGGATGGGGAGAAAATGTGATTATCAGAGATCTGGGTTTCAGTTCCAAGCAAAATTACAAAGCTTTGCACACCGGAGCTTACTTTTTCTTTTTTCTTTTTTTTTTTTTTTTTTTTTTTTAATGAGCAAATTAAATCATCATTACATAAGCTACTATTTTAGTAACAAGGAATAAGGACAAGCAAAATGAAGTAGTAAATGAACCAAATCTGTATTTTGGATATTGGAATATTGGATAGGCTATTTGAATGAGAAACTTGAACTTGTGGCTAACAGTCTTGTATGGGTATGTTAATACCTCTGTATTTTTCTTTGGAAAAGGGAGTGGATTAAGGGTGGTAATATGGTGTATCTGATTGACGAGTTTAAATGCAAAGTTCAGTTGGATTTTGCTGAAAAAGAATTTAAAGTTGAGTAGAAGTCAACCACTTCTCCTATTTCGGGCAAAACAGTAGTGCTAAAACAGCCAGAAGATGATATCCAGCTTCTAGCTTTCTGTGGTTTTTGTTAACATATTCCTAAACTAATTGTTGGGGTTTTTTTTTTTTCCTTTTAGCTGTACACCATAAAGTATTATTTAGTGTCTTTAAATTCTAAAATATTGACATGTGATGTGGATTTTTTCTTATTATTTTGTACAGTCAAAAGGAAAAAAACCACCTCAGGATGCTTCAGGCACAGCTCCAACAGAAGGAAAGGCAAAGCCAAAAAGCTGTAACACATACAGACTGGAGCCACGTAGTAAAGTTCGGGATGCTTTAGTCAGAGACAAAGCTGAAGCAATACTAACGGTATAGTATCATTTCAAGTAATTGTCTCATTGCAAAAGCAGCTTGTCTTGCAGAAGTATTTACGGAACTGTGAATACTGCATAAACTTAAAACACATAAATCTCTGCAGTCTTTTGAGTTTTGGCACATGAATGTAATGTGAACATACTCGGTTTTGCAAAGTGCAGAAGGGCCTCTGCAAGGTCACTGCTGAGCATGTGCTGTTTGGGTGGAACTGAAGCTTCATAAACTCCTGCATTTTTTTAAGTCAAATTGTGCTACAGCACATTTCAAAGTACCATAATCCACAAAATGTTCAGTTAGCAAAAGATCATGACATCAAATTTGTGGATTTCTATTAATTCTGCTAATATCACAGGACCTGCATAAAATTACTTGGTATCCTTGACAGTCAGACTGGTACATACACAAATTAAGCCAAAATGAAAGAAAACAATTTGTTGAGGTAATCCAAAGCTATTAGTGGTATTTGAACAGTTATTACCAGATCTTTTTAATTCTGCTGTCTGGAAGACATATCTTGGGTATTTGGAACAGATATTTGTAGCACTGTTTTCCAGTGAACTGAGCTCAAATAATGGAGAAGAGTACACTCCTGATTGTTAAATAGAGATTGGCTGGGCATGTGTGTCACCTTTAAAAAAAAACAGATAAAACATTTTGGAGTAAAAGCGGTTCATCCTTTGCTGTTTGAGACCATCGTCTGTACTGACTATTCAATTCATTAGTTCTTCTCATGGTCTTGTAATGAAAATGACTGTAAAGGATGTTTTTTGCAAAAGACTACTAGGATGAAAACTAAGATCTTTCAAAATTGTTTTTGATAGAAGAAACTACAGGAAGCCACATATGATGGAGCTTCTAGTCCCTTCTTGTGTGCTTCAATATCAGAAGAAATATTAAATGCTGTGAAGGAATTGGATTATGACCGTTATAAGTATGTGGTGTCAGTGCTAATTGTGGAAAAGGCAAAACAGGCAATGATTGTAAGCAAACATATTATTTGTTACACCTTTTGAAAATTAAAAACAACTTTTAGAACTGTGTGTTATCTCCTAGGTGTTCTTTCACTTTCAGCAGCTTAACTTGTTTGAGGAGGTCCTGAACCTTTTACCTCCTTTATGGGTAATAGTATCCCAGGTGACAATTCAAGGTGCTGCTGTGATTCTGCCTACTCTCTGAAGGTTGTTGTCTTCATGTGTTCAGTAAGTTGCAAACACCCACAACTGCATTTTCCTGTCACTCACTTGTTTCCACTGCCTGCTGTGCCAGTACAATTCCATGAGTTCAGCGAATTTTGTTTTTCTTTGTCCAGTGTACTTGGACATTTGGGTTCTCACATTCCACGCAAAATGCTATGCAGTTGTAGTGTTGGGTGTCATGGAACAGAAGGGTGGTAAGGAAAGGGCTGGTAACTGCAGCTGCCACTAGACATTCTCCTGGGACTTTAAATTAACACCAGTCATCTGAACTTGGAACACCTAAAATAAAAGGATTCTAGATTTTGCTGTGTTGGTGTATAAATTTAGTATTCCAATTAGCTTGGAGCTCCCACTGGCATTCAGAATGCTTTATCTGTCTAGTAGAGTGTAAAGAACACTTCTGCTTTGGAGTGTTCATTATCAGTTTTTAAAACCTGATTGAAACCAACCTGTGTTTAGTGAGTTACATGAAACAATGTTTGAAGGGTTCAGCTTCAGTACCAAATCCAGATTGTGAGTTGCCTGCATCTACCTGCTTTTCTGGTGCCATCTCACAGTATACTGCCTCTTAAGGGGTGCTTTGACTAAGGAGCTGTAGGTGCAAACAGATTAGTGAAGTGGTCCAAGTTAACTTTTTCTCCCAAGGAATGTGTTTATTCCATCCATCAATTCACGCAGTTCAGCTTTGAAAACAATTTTATCAAAAAGGCTGAGAGCCCAATAAATTTACAAGTAGGCTGTAGTAATCTGGAGGTGGAGGAGTGGGGGATGTGACTTTGGTTGTATGTGCTCCCAAAACTGATGTCTAGTCACACTGATATACAATTGCTTTTGAAGGGGTGCTCTTACTGTATGTTAAATTGTAACAAGTGAACACAAGAGAGAACTGGGGGTTTGGGGCTGAGATTTTTGGATCTATCTGTGTGGGAACTTTACTGCGAAGCGAGAACATGTATTTAACATTGAATAGGAATTGTTAATTTTATTCAACTTTTGCATTGTTGTTAATAGTTGTAACTCTCTTAATATGATTAATTAGCATGTAGATGCTGGGTGTTCTTTAAAAATAAATAGTAAAACTGCTGAATATAGGTTCACTTGTAACTTTTTCTCTTTTGTCTCTTTAGGTTGCCAGCAGATGCCTCTGGGATGCTGAGAGAGACACTTGGATTTCAGCTAAATGTGAAACTGATACATTTATTGCACTGGCTTTGGTAATGGCTTGTTATTACGACTAAAACTGAAAGTCACAGCTGCATTCGTGCATCACAATACACGGTATATTTGAAAAATTTCAAAATGTCATTATTTTGGTATTCCTTTTTGTCCTATTGCTGTTGGCACATTCAAAATGACATATAGCTGAGATAATTTTGCTCTGTTTAAAAAAAAAAAACCAAACAAAACTGCTTTGGAAATGTTTATGGTTGGGTACATATGGGCTTCATCTGTTGTAATGCTCTGCTGTGGAAGTGGGAGCAGCTGGTGTAAGGCCAAACATTGCAAAATTTTGAATGTTGCTTGTCTGTTGAGTGCCTAGGACTGTTCACATGCTTATATGCGGTTGCAGGTATCAGTTTTCTTAAAAGCATGCTTTTTGTAAGAAAAAGCAGTGTTCATTTTTCATTTTCATCGCTCGTATCTGATAAAATGCTAGTCTGATTAGAAATTTGGCTGGGATGGAAGTGGTGTTTTGCAGTCCTAGAAACTTGTGCAAATTTCTAGCCATTTGCCTTGAATGAAGTGTAAGATCAGTTATTAGGTTACCTGGGTCAACCTTTGGTTAAGTATTGCCTAGGGTCTGGTTGGTGGACAAATACTGAATAGAGCGAGTTAGGTCACTTTGGTCTAGGGTAGGTGTAGGAGGGTGATGGGATCATTCGCAAGGCTATTGAGAATTGGTCCGTAACTAGCAAGGGCAGCACCGATTGTATTTTTTAAAATGAGACTCGCAGATCTGTGAAGTGTGTAGACATCACCTTTTGGATATGCCGTGCGTGGAAATCTAGCGCTGGTGTCTTTGCCACGTCCGTTTTATTGTTGGGAGCTGAAAACAAACGCGGACGGGGCGGAGGTGCTTCCCACCGCCCCGTGGCCAGCTTGGGTCTGAGCGCTTTGGAGCCGCGGCCGGGCAAACCCCGAGGGGCGGTGAGCAGCCCGGGCCGCGGGTGGGCGCACACGCGGGGCCAGGGGAGCCCCGGCCGGGGGCGGTGCCGGGGCTGGGGCGCGGCCGTGCGCTTTGTTCGCCGGCGCGGGGCCGCGCGCGCCCACGGGGCCGGCTGCGGGCGGGCGCGCGCGCCGCCGCGGTCCCCGGGACGAGGGTCGTTCCCGTGGCGGGTAGGGAGAGCCGCGCTTCAGCTCCGCCCGCGCGTACCGGCGGCACCGGCACCGGCACCGGGGGGCGGCGCGGCCCGGCGCGCAGCGGGCTCGGCGCGACCGCGCAGCGGCGGGAAGCGGCCGCACGCGCCCTCCCTCCGTCGCAGGGGCGAGCGCGCTCGTGGCGGCTCCTCCGAGTGCGCCCCCCGCCCCCCGAACCCCCCTCCTGCGGGGGCTGATGGTTCACAAACGTAGCTCGTCCCCGGCTGACGTTCCCGGAGACGGGAGCCTGCCGGCGGAGCGGAGCAGCCCGGCCCTGCTGGGCGCCAGCTCCCGCGCTCGGCGCTGACCACCCCGCCGGGGGGATGCTGCCCCTCCGTCCCGCGCTGCTGCCCAAGCGCTACCGCGGCGGCTCGGCTCCGCGCTCGCGGCCGGGCCGCGCGGCCGCCCGAGCGGCGGCGGCAGGAGGAGGAGAAGGGCGCGGCGGCGGCGGCAGCACCGGCGGCGACGGATCCCCCGCGCCTGTCCCGCGGGGCGGCGCCGGGTCGGTGCGGGTGCCGGTCCGGCGGCGCGGGCCGGGGTCGCCGCGGGCTGCCCGGAGGGGGGCGGAGCAGGAGCCGCCGCGCCCGTGCGGGCGCTGGCCGGTAGGGGCCGCTGCCGCTCCCCGCAGGGCGCGGGGGGGCGGGGCCGGCGGGCGCGGCGCGAGGCCCGGTCGCGCGGCGGCGGCGGCGGCGGCGTCGCTCCTGTTGGCCCAGCCGGCGGCGGCCATGGCGGCCGTGCTGTCCCCGCGCCTATGCGACAGCGACCCGGCCACGCCCGGCGCGCAGTCCCTCAAGGTGAGAGCGGTCGGCGGCGGCCGCGAGCTGCGGCGCGACAGCCGCCTCGGCGGGAGGCCTCGCGCGGCCCCCGCGCCCGGGCGCCCTGACCCGCGCCCCTCACCCGACCCGGCCGCCCCGGGCTCACCTCACGCCCGCTGCGGGAGCCGGGCGGCGGCGGGCGGCCTCCCGCGCCCTGGGCCCAACTTTGAGCGCGGGTCTGCGGCCGGCTGCTCGGGGCCGTCCTCCTTCCCAAAAGTCCCTCGGCGTCTTCCCGGGGGCGGCTGAGTCCTCACCGCAGCAGCGCCGCAGCCGGGAAAGTTTGGGTCTGGCCGCGGGCAGTTCCGCGTTGGCCCGGCCGGCTGCTCCCGCGCATCCCGGGCACCGCGAGCACTTGTGGCGCCAAAGACTTCTGGCGCAGATCGGCAGTCGCCCTGTGAAACACGTCTGTGCTAGTTCAGGCTTCTCAATCGCTTAATAAAGCAGCGTTGCGTCGATCTTACAGTGACAGGCATACCAGAAGTTTGTAACGTCACCATGTTTTGTAAGGACTAACAAGCTTTTTACAGAAACATGCGTTTTCAAGGGGCTTTCTTGGACAGTGTTTGACTTTTCATGTAAAGAGAGCCACGGAGCTATCCCTTTTTTCTGTTTTTGAACAGTAAAGGTGGTTGAGCAGCATTGTGCTTTTAGATTGCAGATGTTTTCACTTCATATACTAAGTTGTCTGCAACAAACTGAACTTGTGTGATTGAATTTCGTGAAATTTTAAGCACTGAGGGAAGCAAATGTGGAAATGGAGAGCACTGATCACTCTATATTATGGAGACTCATACTTTGTAACAGTACTGGGTATGAAAATTACAAAGTGAAAGAAGAAACTAATATCAGGCACTTCCACCAAACTGTCAGGTTGAGATCTTTTAATGATGTTTTGAAGTCTCTTGGAAGTTTTGATATTCCAAAGGGTTGCTTGTGCCCTGTTCAGATGTTTGTCTAGCAGTTAAAAATATTTGGAGTGCACTAATATTCTTGTGGGAAGTAGGAATGAACTACTGACCAGACAGCTACTTCACAAAACACTAATGCAATATTGTTTTGACTGGGGGCTGCTGCTGCGTGTAAGTTCACACAGGGTATTCTCAGCAATACTAAGAATTGACATTACTGGTAGTGTGAGTGGAGATGCTGCATGCTTCTTTTAAGGATGGCTGCACTAAGAAAACAGTGTCATTAAATTTTGCTTTTCAGTTTTTATTACTGTGTGAAAGATTTTCTTGCTCCTTAAAGAGGAAGAAAACTATTTGTAAAAAATTGCAGAAAAGAAGAAATAAGCCAAAAATCCAGGAGACAATGGGTTTTTGTCTATGGCCTGTCTTGATCACAATATTGTGAAATGTTGCTTACATTGCTTAAAAGTAATGTATTCTTGTTTGCTGGAATATTTTTAAATTGATACTTCAAGTCATATGTTAAGTAAAACATACTAGAATGAAAGACATTAGCAAAGGTAGACCTAATAATCATTGTTGTCATTTTAAAATAAGTAAGTATAGTTGGTCTTGATCCATTTATTTCTGACAGGTTAATTCCTCTTTCTTTTCACAGAAGTTAGGAAATTGATTCTGTCACTCTGCTCCACTTTAGAAATTCAATTACTTGAAAGAACGGTTTTGCTATTGACTCAACTACTGATTATGGTGGGCAATTCACCTAAAGATTTCTGCTTTCTGTATCTCAATTATTATCAGACAGGGTTGGTCGCTAAATGCTTTGAGATTGTTGATGATGCAGGTAGAAGTTGCACAGCATTCTGGGACAACAAAGCAGTGAAAAACTCAACATCAACTGAGTCACTGTCTTCTAGATTTTACAGAACTCTTTGTTTTGCTTTGGTCTTTTTTTCTTCCTCTTCATTCTTTATTCCCTTTCATTATATTGATCACATGAAATCTGAATAGTGACACCTGTCTGAATGTTTCCTTGTAAGAGCCTTGTTCTCTTCTGTATCTGTTGTAATAGCAAGTTGGGTTTTTTCTTCCATATATTTTTTCATCTCAAGACACAAATCTTTGCTACTTTTTTGTAATAATATTTTTTGTAAACTGTATACCATTCCTTTTATTTTAACTGTATACCTATAAAATCCTGTGTTGCTTTCAGTAATATTTTCCCTGATTTTGTAAGCATCAGCTCTCAGCAAGGAATTGGCGTTTTTGTGTTGCCCTTGATTTTGGTGTAGAGTGCTAGTCTGATCAAGTGTCAGAGGTTTACATCAGGAATTGTGAACTTGGTGGTCAGAGCTACAGCTCTGTCTATTCAGAACTCTGCCTATGCCACAGGTGAGAAGCTGCCCAGTTCTCCTACTGGGCTACCACATGTCATGCAGATAGTTTATAACAAAGAATAATTTATGTGGACTGAGTTGTTTCAGACTGTCATAAAATGGCTTAGCAGTTCAAGTATATTTAAATTCTGGATTGCCTTGCAATGTTTATGTTGTTTTACATTATCTTTGGAGTATTCTAAGTTTTTTAATATTTATTGTCCTTTCAGGATGACACAGAAGAAAATTCCAATGATGGGAGCCAGCCATCCAAAAGACGGCGTATGGGCTCAGGGGACAGTTCTCGGAGCTGTGAAACTTCCAGTCAAGACCTTGGGTAATGCTCTTTTTTTACAATTCCCACTTTTTATTGCAAGTCTGACTTTATTGTTCAGCATGCTTAAGTATTAGCTCTTTATTCATTAATTGTGTATTCTTCATACCTCTTTACAAGCTGAGGTGATGTCCTATAAATAGCTAGATGTCTATTGCTCCCAGCATATTTTAAGGCATTTTATTTTAGAGTGCCAAAAAAGTGTTGCATCTGATTTACAATCAGAAGCACAGTTTACATGTTTTTATGACATTGCATACTTTAATGAGTTTTGACTTTGTAGTAGTTGCTTTTCCTGGTGTCATCTCCATTACGATGGCTGTCAGTTTCTTTGGATTCTGTCCCTTAGCATGTTGATAAATGATGCTTTAGAAAAAGATGTGTGAGGTTGGGTATAAAAAAGTGGCTTTTGTAATGTTAACAGGATGCAGTGTTTTAAAGTGCTTGTCCAACTTTCCAGCTTTGTAGTTACCGTTCATTGACATATAAATAGGAATTACTGAATGTCTAGAGATGTGAGTAGTATTATTAAGGATTGTTTTGATTTGTTGTAACATTGTTCTTATGTTTAGGTATAGTTATTTTCCTGCTGAAAATTTGATTGAATACAAATGGCCACCTGATGAAACAGGAGAATACTATATGCTTCAGGAGCAAGTCAGTGAATATTTAGGTGTGACTTCCTTTAAAAGAAAATATCCAGGTATTTATTTTTAAGGTTTTTCTTCTAAAAGCTTGTGTTCCTAAACAGTTTGGATGTAGTCTGTACTTCTTTGGTTATAGGATGATCTAGCTGTTAAAAAAAAGAACCAGGAAAAGCAGAACTGGGTTATACTTGTACTTCATATTTTCATTACTGGAAATATAATGTATCCACTGGTTTTCAAAGTAATATAAGACTTTGTGGTATTGCCACTGAAAATTTGCAAACTTTGCAAAAATGTCTGATGTGAGGGTTAGATCGGCAAATACAAAATATTATTGAGGGTTAGATCATCAGTTGAAAACTGATGTCAATTTTATTTTAATGATTTGTTGATGATTTCTTACTATATAACTGGGTCTTTGTATTCTGTTTCCTGAATTGTGGCAACATGCATACACTGGAAAAATATTAAAGATGTTTGTGGAGGTTCTAGTATTTAAGCCTCCATTATTCAGAATTGTCAAATCTGGCTCATTTGTTGGAAAAATTATTTTTTAAAGTCGTGGTAAAATTAAAAATATTGCACTTACAGTGACTGGTAAAATTTTCTGCATCTGAACTTATACATCAGGTTTCTTTAGATTTTCTATAAATCATAACTGTAGGCAGGGTCTTGACCTACTGTAGAGCAAGGAAATTTACCATGTCCCTTCATTGTTTGTTAAATTTAAAATTAATTTATAAAGTTGTCATGTTTCTTGGAATAGCAGTATAATATAGGCTCTTGCTGCCTGGAAACAAAACTGTTGAAATACTTCAACAGTGTTTATAGGGGAGTTTCAGTTACTGCACACATTTTTATTTCTTTTCTTTTTTTTTGGTTTTTATTTGAGATTTAGAAAGGCGAGATTTATCTCACAAGGAGAAACTCTACCTCAGAGAACTAAATGTTATCACAGAGACCCAATGCACACTAGGTAAGAAAACAAACTGTTATATTTCTTAATATACTATAAAAAGTATGGCACTCCGAAAATGGGGTTCAGTTTGGTAGAGAAGAATTGCATCCCTTTCAACTGGAAACATAAATCCTGAAATTAAAACTGGTTTATTATTGGCTTAGTAAATTGGCCATGATGTATCAATATTCCAGATTTGTTATTAACATACATATTTTGGATCTATTCTAATTACTTAGAGATGATTTTGCTATATTCTATATTAACTTGTAGAACCTTTTTCTCTTAGAAAAGAGATCACCATAATTGTGTGGTCTCATATAAATACATTACATGTACATATGCGCATGGTGATATATATGTACAGGGTGTTTTCATATACATTAATCTTATTTTTCTGCATTGCATTGGAGGCCAGCAAACATCAGTGCATATTAAATAGTTCAGCTTCTATGTTAGAAATTAGAAGAGTGTATTTTAAGACACTTGAATATACTTGAAATGGATTGATGTAATTTCTTATATTATATTGAAAGGGCTTTTTTTTTTTACTGTTCTGATAGATGTGATTTGGACGTGTTAGAGTTTAAATTATGCTTGCCATGTTGTTTTTTTTTTTCTGTGTATCATGGGTCTGTAAAAATGTAATGCCATTTTATGTGCTAACAATCTTCAGTATACCACCTTTATTTCTCACCTGTGAGCTGTCTAATTTTTTTTAACTTAGCTATGCATGAGAGAACTGTATCTAATTTTTGTATGTAGAGGTAAAATGTTAAATTCTGCGTCATATATCCAACAGAGATGTCTGCTAACTATCCCTGTTTTTAAAATTATAGTTATAGTCAGTAGTAGGTAGTTATGTCAGGTAGTGACATAAATCATTCCATGCTATTGTCTGCTTCAGGGGAGGATATCTGCACTGTAGCTGCAAACTGAGGCATTCTGGCTTCTGAACTTGAAATGCTTTAATTGGGAGTCAGGAGTCTCTGTGCAGTTTGCTGCTCTGAATTGCTCTTCTAGTGATTCTTCCCTGATTTGTATAGAGACTTTATGTAAACCTCTTAATTTCAACAAAGGTTCTTCAGGGGAATGAAACTTCACCAGCAATGGAAACTGAAACTAACAGTACAGGTGGTCCCATCTAGAACAGAAGTTCTGCCTCACCACTGAGTTTAAGTAGGTGATTGAGTTAATGTGAAGGGGTCTGAAGCTATAAGTAATGTCAGGAGCCTTGGGTACAAGCAAACTCCTAGTCAGCCTTGAAAGCTAAATGGCACAAGTTCACTGCTACTTGAGAAGGAAAAGCATTGTGCACAGCAGGTTATTGTCTTTAGCTACTCAAAAACTTTGAGTTGGTTATTGTGAGATATAAATAACCTGCAGTTACTTTTTCCAGACAGCATAATTATTACTTTATTTATTTTAGGTCTAACAGCTTTGCGTAGTGATGAAGTAATTGATCTTATGATTAAAGAATACCCTGCCAAACATGCTGAGTATTCTGTTATACTGCAAGAGAAAGAACGGCAGCGAATAACAGATCATTACAAAGAGTATTCTGTAAGTAATTACCATTTAAGTGAACCTGCAATAGGAGTGTGAGAAAAGGTTTTTACTGAATTGATACTGAAATGTATGTGAATTAATATAATTGTTTTTATTCCAGCAAATGCAGCAGCAGAACACACAGAAAGTAGAAGCCAGTAAAGTTCCAGAATATATTAAAAAAGCTGCCAAGAAAGCTGCAGAATTCAACAGCAATTTAAACCGAGAGCGGATGGAAGAAAGAAGAGCCTATTTTGATTTACAGACACATGTAGGCAGATTTAAATTTCTTACTAGTTGTGAGGAAGAAGCTTCTTGCTTGTTTTAGTGAAGTTGGTTTTGTTACCATTTTAACTATTTTTGGGGGGATGATTAATGGGTAATACTGCTAAAAATAATAATCTCAAATATATTTTACCTGCAGACTTTTTAAACTTGAAAATACTTGTCTCAGGAAGCTCAAAAAAATCTCAGTTTAATTTTGTTATCATATCTTTATTTGATAGTAGTAGCATAAAACTAAGACCGTTGTTTATTCTTATAAATGGCTAACTCTTCTTATGAATACCTCCAAAATTTTGCCTGACAATACCTGAAGTAAAAAATAAAACTATTTTACATCTAAAAGTGTGCGGCCTGTCAATATTATGCCCTTGTTTTTTGTTAGGTGTTATATTATATTTTTATTGCATATGTTACATGCCTCTGTGCTTGATTAAAAAAATATTATCTGGCATTTTGAAGCAGTGCTGTTCTGCTTCTATACAGGCTGTAAAGCAAAAATTTTCTTTGCAAATTGTTACATGGCAAACAATTATGGAAAGTTCTCATTTTCCTGGTATTGACCGTGTTAGAGACAAGATGGTGGATAATTCTGTTTCCTTCTAAGAAAAGGAAGGCTTATTATGTAAGCTTCTTCTTTGCATTGTATTCTGTATTTATATTATTAATGGATTTTTTTTTTTTTTATCGTACAGTCTGGTTTCAGAATTAGATGGACATGTTCTTACTACTCTAAAGTCAGTCGCAAAGGTTAATGTTTACTGTTTCAATTGCTAGATTCTAATTTCAATATTATTTTTCATAGTGTACTATTTAAAGGGGTTTTACCTAATCTTTGTTCAGTCCTCTGGATACTTAGGGATTGGATTTAATCCATGATACTGTTTTTGGATCTCTTAGAATTTTAGTGCATTCTCGTGGGAGAACTCAGGTAGCTGTTCCAAGTCTGTAAAACTGGCAAGTTAAAAAAATACTTGGAGGAGTATTTGGTGAGGAAGGCTCAACTGTTTGTATGTGAAACAAAAATGTAATTGTTTTATGTTAAACAATGCAGATTATCCAGGTGCCTCAAGGAAAATACAAAGTCTTGCCAACAGAGAGAACAAAGGTTAGTCCTTATCCAGTGGCTCTCATTCCCGGCCAGTTCCAGGAGTACTACAAAAGGTATTTTAAAAGCATTCCAACTGCCAATTCTGTTGCACTGATCTCTTTTGTCTACATCTAGCAGGTGGAAAGCATTTCATTGTCTTTGCTTTAAGGTTTCAAATTAATTTTAATTTTAGACACTCAGTAGTCTTCAGAGATGCACAGTGTGACAGCTTGTGTCAAGAAAACAGTACTGAATGCAAGAGCACTGTCACTGCTGATGTATTGCAGTGTCTGAGATTTGGCCTGCTCAGATATTTGCCATAGTAAAAAGGGACATGGATTTCACTCCTGCCACCCTCCTGTTTACTTACATCTGCCTCTGCACGTGTGCTAAAATTAATGCTTTTGTATCAAACTGTTGTTATGCTTGCTTGTGATCATGTGTCTTCTGTATGACAGTCTTGCTGTTCTATTTTGAATTTTTAGAAACTCTTTTTAAAAGTTTGTTCTTGTGGTTTAACTTTGGTGTTAGATTTGTAAGTGAGAGAGAAAGGCATTGCAAGCTGGACTTTCGTATTTAATGAAACATGTGTTGCTTGACTGTTGACATAAATTTAAAGATTTTACTAGCAGTGCGCTACTGTTTAAAAAGCCATACAGATTTGAAGATTTCCTGAAGTCTTACTATTGTACAAGAGAGATGATATTCATGCTACATGTGCTTAGTTTTTTGTAGAGAAACTTTGTCTGTATGTGCCTTGCTCCTTCCACTGTGTGTTTATACAGCCCACCCCAAATTTTCATGTTATAGGATGTTCCTGAAGCACTTCAATTTTATTAAATCAGTTGAATTAAAATTACTTCATATTATGTTTATTTTGCACTTGTAAGCTGCTAGTGAAACTGGTTTTCCATCTCAGTGAAGGACATGGCCTTTGATAATATGCAGCAAAATGGTATCCTGTTCCTTACAGTGGTTGTCTTCAGCAATAAGAGGACTTCCACTTTTTTCTTAGTCTTTAAGAGTGAAAAGAAAAAGGGTACATTATGGATATCTGGATATAAGCAGTGAGATTACATCTTTACATTCAATGAAATTACATTTTCTTGTTTTCTTGCATTTTTTCATGCTCAATAATCAGCTGTACAGCTGTATTGTTTACTTTGCTTTGGACATGTTTGTGTGCCCTGGGTTAGAATTGTACACATGTTATGGATCACTGTACATTCATAAGCAAGGTGTATGGTCTTTTGGGCATAGTAACAGGGATTGGTTAAAACTTTGCAAATACACCTGTGTTCCATGAATATCTGCTCTACCAAGAAGACAGGTGCTATGCATGGCATTACATATGGGAGGAGAAATTAGTAGGCTTTCTTTGTTTTCAGAACTGCATGTTTTTATGTGCCTGAAAAAAAGGAGACTGTTTCTCTAAAGTTCCTTTGTACTGTGTGACTTAATACTTACACGTAAAGTACACATGAATTGAATGGGTTTTATTTATTTAACTTCAGATACTCTCCAGACGAGCTGCGTTACTTGCCGTTAAACACAGCTCTTTATGAACCCCCTTTGGATCCGGAGCTGCTTACACTGGACAGTGATGGAGATTCAGATGATGCAGAGGAAGGGCGAGGTGATGAAAAAAGGAAAACCAAAGGCAATTCGGTGAGACAAACTGAAAGTATTCTTGAACAAAAAAATCCTTTTTCTTGACTTTTGTTAGTTTAATGAGTTTCTTAGAATTATTTAACATTTGCAAAATGAAGGGAAGACTTTTTTTAGTAGTTCTGTTTATTTCATAACATTGCTCTCCATTACTTTCTGGTTTTGGTCCTTTTTCAGAATAAATTGAACAAATAGTTGACATTTAAGGCCTTTTCTTCAATTTTTTAAAATTTTATTGTGTTTGTTTTGTTTTGTTGTGTTTAAAGAAATTTTGAAGAAACTTCCCAATGCAGCTCTTCATTATAGCCTTTTTCCCAAGGGGAAGTTGCTGGCATTTCTGAGGAATATGAATATCATAGTTCAGGTGACAGTATATTTTGCTGTTTGAAGTCCCACAGAATCTGTCACCAAAGTAAAGGTGTTGATAACCTCATAATTTTTTTTTTTTTTTTGGGATGTGGAAGCAGCAAGTATTCAGTATAGAAACAGTAGCTTCATTCCAATTTAAACAGAAAGTAAAAAGCACTGTGTATTTTTACTTTACAATACATCTTTTAAAATATACTTATGTTCTCTCCACTTATGCAAATGTAAAATTAACTGCTAGCTGAAACTTAAGGGAAACTTTCACATATGTACCTTGATAGTACTTTAAATGCTCAAGAGCCAGCTGAAATTCAAATTAGCTGAGTACAACTGAACCATTGGTCTATTGGTGCAGTTTGTATGTTGGTGACAATCTCTTTCCAGAAGTTTAACCCTAATTTTAACAGCAGTGGAGTGTCACAGTGCATATAGCAATTTCTAGTGTTATTGATGTTTGACAGTGGGTATGTACAGTTCTGAATTTTGTCATGTAAATATTTATCTTTGAATTTTGTAAGATACTTATAATTGAAGAAAGAAAGAGGTCAACTTGTAGGTTAACAAAAGGAGAGAGAGGTGTTTAATATACTGTTTCTGCTTGCATTCTTTTTTTGAGAAGAAGAAATCATATGAACATAGCATGCTAAATCTCAACTCAAATTTTTGGTTTAATCACACTCCAGCATTTTTACAGTTGGTCAGTTGGTCTTTAACCATTTTTTCCCAGTTTCATTTTCCACTGATTTCCGTTCTCATTGATGGTAAAGTAAAGTAACTGGATCAAACAGACTATCCTTTTGATTTTTCACAGAGGCTCAGAAATCTTATTTTGTGACAGAATGCAGAAGGAAAAATGTTCCTAAGTTTGAATAGTGTAGAGAAGCATGGAAGATTGATAATCAGATTCCTGTGAAGCAGTTTTGGCTATGGGAGCAGGGGTTCTTAGCGAGTTAGTCATTGAGGGGGCATATAGTTCAGAAAAAACACAGAGATGGAACACTGTCTGATTTGGACTACCTACCATTTGTCAGATCTCCCTGGTGAGTCCCTCAATATGTTTTATAACTTCTGCTTTTTCACACCTCCCCCTGCTCCATTATTGGAGTTGGTAGCAGTTTTATTTTCTGTAGCATTTAAGTGGATCTAAGCTAAATAATCTTCCCCTGAAATATTGGTGAAACATACCATTTCTTGTTGCCACATAGTTCAGTCTGTTTTTGTGTTACACTCTGCCATTTGCTTTGTGTCTCCTTCGTCTGTTTTAATTTTGGATCCTGGGGCACAGGCTGATTACTACTGTGTTTTTACAGAGTGTGTTTTAATGTAGGGCACCATTGTTGTTTGGCCTCTTGGGTTTTACTGTAATAAATCTGAGTAATCACACTGCTTCCTTCTGGAGCTTTTTGGAAGCCTTTATTAACACTCTTCTGAGAAAATTCTTGTGCTGCTGCTCCTAATTATGCCTACATTGATCTCTCACCATCTTTGAACCTCTTCCCCTCTTTCTTGCCTCCTTATTCCTCCAAAAAAAAAAAAAAGAAAAAGAAAGCTTTTACTGCAAAATAAATTCTGTTGTTTGGTTCTGTATTAAATATGGAAGTGTGTTCTGCCGTTGATGGCATTCTTCTTCTGCAGTCCGAATTAAGTTCTTAGATTGCTCCTGGTGAAAACAGTAAGTGAGGGTGGCAGAAAAAAAAAACCTTCATTTGTTTAATTAATGGGAGTCCTTATATCCTTTAAAGGCATGACAAGGGCACTTTTAACATTTTTTGCTGGCCCTTTACGTTGTAAACAGCGTATTGCATTTAGTTGATTTCTTGCTGACTTCTAGTGAAAACCCTTCAGAGAATTACACTGTTGTGCTCCCCACTCTGGTACCAAGACCAACTGCAAAAACATGACTGCTGATGCCAGTCTCTTAAACCAGAAAAAAACAGATGATGAATGTTGTGAGCAAAGGTGTTCTAGATTGTGACAAACCCCATGCTTTTGCAGAAGGAATGACATATCCTTCTCTTACTTTAGTTGACTCTGAGGGGCATAGGAAAGACTTGTCTGTCTATCCAAAAAAAAAAAAAATATAGCTATGGTATTTTTATTATAGGACAATTCGTCTGGCAATGTATCTGAAGGTGATTGCGCCACAGACAACCAGGAGGATTCTTTTCAGGGAAGACAAAAAACAAGAGACAAAAGTGCTACTCCAAGAAAAGATGGTTCCAAACGTTCTGTATTACCCAAATCAGTTCCTGGGTACAAGGTAGAAGAAAAAAGCCCCTGACTGAATTTTACTCACCAGCTTCTTTCTGAAGTATTTGGTTTTTTCAATAATGTGGAATTTCTGCTTGCTGTACTTCACTAGCTGTTCTCCTATTGTGTGCTCCATCTGTTTGCTTCCTTATTTCCTTTTTGCTTACATTTCATGTGGGGCTTTTCTTTACCCTAGCTGTACAGTCAGGTTATTGGGTTAACTTCTTAGATTCATAGGCAGTAACACTAGAAAAATCCACTGTGGATTTATCATTGGAACTCAGCATCTTTCTGTCTGCTTTAACATTGCAGTCAGAAATATGTCCCAGTTTGAAGCTAGCATTCACTATCTGTTACTCTTTTTTTCTATTTTATATGGCAGCATACCAAGAGCTCAGTCCTATAAAGTGCAGCTGTATAGCTGAGCATATTGTTACAACATTAATTTTAAATATAGCCTTTCATCCTGCAATGTTATGATATATAGGATGGAAGACAAAAAGCTTCCTATACCTGTATAGGCAACACTATGTAACCCCTGTAGTATTATTTGGAAAATAGCTTTTTATGTTGTTCATACTATGTAGTAACGTTTGTGGGCAATATGCTTTTATCTAAACTAGAAACTTGGTGAGGATGTGAAGACATTTCAGCTATCACGCAGTGACTGCCGAACCTAAGACCCCAGTCTTCAGTATTTCTGTATAATAATTTCAAGAATTACGATAAAAATACTTTTCAGAGAAAGTGGGACTTTACATGCATTGATTATATGCTACTGTTCTGCATACTAAGAGAGGATCTGAATAAACTGTAACACATTTAAAGCAGGTAATTGTCTAGTCCTGTTCCACTGAGAGGAATGAGAATTTTCCATTGACTTAAATGGGAGCAGGAATAGATCCATAAAGAGGGAAAACACTAAGTTAAGGTAGGGTTGAGTGTTTACCAGTCAGGAATGCTTATTGACAGTTATGGGACAGGGAACATTTTTGTCAGTGACAAGTTTGTACATACAGAGAATCTGTCTCAGCTAAAGTGAGCTGTTGATGGCTTGCATTTTATGTTTATAAATATTTACTATCTGTGTTTACCAAGTTAATAGTGAATAAACTATAACTTACAATAAGAAGCTAATTTCCAGCAACAATTGGACAGCTTTGATAAATTTCCTCTACATACAGTATCTGTACAAGTTCATAATCGACAGCAAGCTCCAGTTGCATTTTCTGTTTTCAGGAACTTATTAAGGAATGTGTGAAGTGTGTAGATTTAGAATGTGGTTACCACATATATATATATTTTTTTATATGTAATTTTGCAAGAAGTTGTAGACATAGAGTGCATTTCAGTATTCCCATGAACATGAAATCCAAAGATGAAGGCTGAAATTTTGCTTTAGCTTTGTTTAACTTGACATTAGAAATAGTGTGCCATTAGTTTACAGAAGCTTCACTTAGCTGTGAGATGCCCAAGTGTTTGATTAGTTGAATCTATCTAATGGCCTTATGAATGCACAGAGAGAGAACTGGTGAAGCAGAACTTTGGTTTGACCTTAAAATTGTAGGAGAGTGGTAGTAGTATACAGCACTGCATTTTGAAATTGGATTCTCACAGCAATTACTTATTGGGTCAAAATCACTGATTCTATCAGTAACAAGGTCTTACTATAATTTACAGTGCCACATCTTTACAATGTCAGCATACATTGCCTGCATCAACCATCCGGCTGTTGTTGAGTCGGGGTGGTGATGATGTGTTAGGAGGGCGAGAGGATTGGCTTTCTTGTTTGTGGGAACATTTGAAATACTGCAATAAGAAAAATTACGTGAGCTGTTTTAACAGGCAAGACAGAATGATTCTTGTTTGTGAGTCTATGAAAACACCAGATAACAATATACCTACCATATGTGCCTGCATGTTAAGGCACTTTGAGCCAAAGGCTTAACTGATTCAAAACATTTTCCCTGTGAAATCTTTATAATACTTTTGTTCTATATTTTCTCCAATATTGGACTATTTTTGTAGGACACTAATCTTCTGGTTACATGTAGTTAAAATTGAGGGATAATTGCTATGGCATCAGCATATATATGTATAGCCATGTTATGAGTATTACAGGATTCCATACATTTCCACTGAGTTATTTTCAAGTAAAAAATACTGTATTTTATATGGAGTCTTTTTTATTGTCAGTTCTTTAACAAAGAACGATTAGCGTATGTTTTACATTTTGTCATGTTACAAGTAGTGAGTCTGTTGCTGCAAGTATGCCTGCTACAATTGCACACACAGGGTACTGTTAAAAGTACAGGAGATTTTTTTGCACATAAAACTGAAATATGTTGAGTATCTTTATTTTGCAACACTTCTGTTTTGGGTCACTGTATATGAAAATGTAACGCTTTGCATTCAGAATAGGATGTTATGAAAATGGTGTAGTTGGAAAGCTTACTTTGAGAGTTGCAGCACAGCAGCATGGAAGTGAAAACCTACACAGCACAGTCATCATTTTGACCCTGCATTCAGTTTCTCTCATATCTTATCCCAATGAGATGGGGATATAGAAAGCAAAATTTTACTCCTAATGAGGTGGGGTATTGTGACTTCCCATTTGGAATTTACAGATTTTTTTAATAGCATTTCTAAAAGCTATTTATGGTGGTAGAATGGAACTGGATTAAATGTGAATAGTCTGGATTTTTAAAAATTTTTTTTTCGTTTCTGTAAAAATACTTCCATACTGTTGGAACTTCATTCTTAAAAGGCTGTGATTCTCACCCTCCCTTAATATGCACGGTTTCTAATGAATACAGGTTAGTGAACTAAGAGTAGATTGAAGCATTGTTAATAAATGGATCTGTAGCAATGCCTACCTTGAGAGTTATGTGTATCAGAATGTGAACTGCACACACCTGTAACACTTGGATGTGTCCAAAAAGCAGCTTACTTTGGCTGGAGTATCGGGGAGTGTGCTGTTTTATATTAAAATACCAATATGTAACAAGCCAGAAGTCCGATTAGAAAAGTTTGCTTGCTATTCTAGAAAGGCTTGGTTTCTTAGATTACAATACAATTTAAAAATAAAAAATAGCCTAAACAATGGAAGGGTAAATGCTACCACACTGACAAGGTTTAAGCATGTGCCACTTTTGTTGGGAGGAGCAGGGTATAAAGGTATACATGTAGGACACGTAGTATAGTTAACAGTAAAAGAGGTTATGTGTGGTTTTGCTTCCATTATATTTATTATTTTGTAGAGATGTTTGTGTGTTAGACTTCTTTTACTGTTTTATTATATTTATGTATAAACCAGGTTGACTTTGCTTTTTTAAAATAAATAAGCAAAAAAATGTCTATGAATGCCTCTGTCATCTTTTGAAGGAAGTTACCTACAAATACATGGTGTGGTGTTTTGTCTTCTTGAATAAAACTCCATAGACTGAACAATTTGAAGCAGGCTGTAGCAATGCTTTAACATAAAAAGCACATTGAAAACTTCAGAAAACTTAAAACAATGCATCCTGATACTTTAAAAATTAGTCAGGATACTAATTTACCTTGCTAGGTGCTATCAAAAACTGGCTGGGGAAATAAACACACTTAAATATAAGTTGTATTGCAAAAGATCTTTGTAATTTTATTTATTTATTTGTGTTTTCACTTTTTAAATTTGTTTTAAAATTAAACCTCATTCTTCTCTCTGTGAGTGGTTGATAGTTGACTTATTGGTATTCTTACTGAAAAGCTGTTTAGAGACTTCAGCTCACTCTGCTAGCTGCGTCTTTGCAGCAACATTGTTTTTTGAAACTGGCACTAGTCAGTTTAACATCAGTGAGTACTACATTCCTTGACTGCATTTCTCATTAATTTCATTATGTAGCAGTCAAAGCTCAACCATGTAACTACTTCCATGTTTCTGAAAGTAAGAATGTTTTACTTCTTCCTCAGGCTTCATCAGGATGAAGCTGTTATTGTGGAGTTGACACACAGAATACCTAGGCAGATGTTCCACATTGTAACAGCCTGCTATTTCTCTTACCCTTTAAATGGATCTCATGGACCCGGACACACTCTAGATGCTCACTTTAAAAAATAAAAATGTAAATCTCCAGTCAAATGCAAGGCTTTTGTTTCTTAAATAATTATGACTGGATACAAGAAGCTATGGTAAAAGAAATACAGCCCTGTATACAGCATAGCTAACTAGATAATTTGAAACTGAAGACAGAAAAAAATCAAGTTTATTGCTTTTATAATTAATTTTCTGTATGTAGGGACAAATGTAATGCAAAAAAAAATTTCCTTCATAATCAGGAAATCCACACAGAAGTTCATAAAGATTATTGTATATTGCAAGAAACTTCCTGAAGTTTTTTACCCTATGTCACATTTAGTTTACCATGAGGAGAATGTTAGCTGATGAATAAATAGGAAGAGGCAAGTACATGCTTTTGCTCCAATTGGATTTACATGTAACTTACTATGTATGACAAATGCAAAATTTTATGTAGTTTAATCTGTGATTTTTTTTTCAGTGCTGCTTGTCAGTGATTGTCACATGTTTCAGGGTTCACACATCCTGACAGATAGTTCATTGATTTTAATAGTTAAGGAGATAGATGACATTTCCTGTAAATTCTTCTGGAATGAATTTATAGCCCTCTTCTACCCTTCCAGCCAAAGGTCATTCCAAATGCTATATGTGGAATTTGTCTGAAGGGTAAGGAGTCCAACAAGAAAGGAAAACCTGAAGCTCTTATACATTGCTCCCAGTGTGACAACAGTGGTGAGTATCTGCATCCACTAAGTGGATTCCTAAGGATCCAGATCTGTTTGTGGACATATTTAGTATACTCCATGTGTAGCAAGAATTCAGTTGCCTTTTCTGTCCTTTGTTACAACCCCATCTCTCTTTTGTGTTCTCTGTGCTCACGCTCTGGGACTCACCAGAAGGTGAGCTACGCTTCATGTTTGGTAAAAGCACACAGTCTAACTAATTTTAAATTTCATTTCAGGCCTTAAAGTAATAATACTGGTTTTAATCTAGGCCACCCTTCTTGCCTTGACATGACCCCGGAGCTTGTTGCTATGATTAAGACTTACCCTTGGCAATGTATGGAGTGCAAAACGTGCATTATATGTGGGCAGCCTCACCATGAAGAAGAAATGATGTTCTGTGATGTATGTGACCGTGGTTATCACACTTTTTGTGTGGGGCTCGATGCTATCCCTTCAGGTAATAAAGTAAGAGTTACTTGTTCCCTTCCCACTTATATGTGAACTAATTAATGAATACACACTCTTTTGAAAGAATAGTTTAAAACAAGTGTGAAGGGTAAGAGTAAGAAACACTATAGGAAAGCATTCACACTATAGGACCTGATTTTTTTACTCAGCTTTATTTCTATATATTTGGTTGTGCACAGTTAAACCTTGCAATTCCTCTGTAGGAAATATGATTGGCTTTTACAGCATAATCCAATCAGGCTCACTCAGAACTATGTTTTTTCCATATCCACTGAATACTGACAATAATTACCCCTTTTCATTGTAGAAATCTGTAAAAGAAACTGTATTGCTGCATATTGCTAGAGTGTAGCTTTCCCATTAATTGTGCTGGTTTAGCTTTTAAATGAAATAGTTGTCTCAATTTAATATTTATAAATATCTCTTTAAACCCTTTCATTCCCTTTTTTATTCTTAAACATCAAAACTGCAACAGAAGTACCTCCATAGGTAGGCAGACAAGCCAGTAGCTTTAAATTGCCAGTCACTCATGTGGCCAACTCAGGGCAGTAGAAAGAAAATAACAGGTGGTACTGTTGCTTTACATGTATTTCTAAGTCCATGGTAAGTTCGTGAATAGGTATTCAGTGGCAGTATTCCCTGGACAGTACTTAAGTGCCCTGGGGCACTGTACTGCCCCATTTTGGGAAGCACTGGAGCTAGTGTCACTTTTGCACAGGTTCTGTGGCTGATTTCACTTTAAGGCTGACCTAAGAATACACTCAAAATAGATTATATGTCTACAAAACTACAAAATTACCAAAACAGCCTTTGATTCCAGCTGTTGTAATAAAAAGTTAAATGCTTCCCCAACTGCCATTCATTTCTGCTCTGCGTAACTTCATGACCTTGAACTGTAGTTTTTCATCTGAAAATATGACTGGCAAACTCGAGCATTGTTTGTAAAGCTCTTACCTAATAACCACCCCCTTGTAGTGCTGGCATTCTTGAGGTCCATGAAGATTGGTGTAGCCAGTGGTTACACATAATGAGTGTGAATTGTGTATACTGCTTTATAGAAAATATGCTCAATTTTAAAAGCATTGGTTGTTCGCATTAAAGGAAATATTGCAAATAGATAAGCACCTACCAGACAGGTGAAGGGCTGCCTAAATAGACAAGAGAGTAACCAACTCAGTTTCCCAATAATTGATAACTTTCTTTTCTTAGGTCGCTGGATTTGTGATTGTTGTCAGAAAGACCCTCCTGTACCCAGAAGAGGAGGAAGAAGGGGAAAAAACAGCAAGGAGGGCTAAGAAAGTCCTAAAAACTTGCTGTCCAAAACTTAACTGCACAAATTAAAGTGATACTCTGGTGCTATTTAATCAACCACTCTATAAGAGGAGCAATACCACTTTTTTTTTCTTTTTACTAAATAAACTTTGTCTATATAGTGATTCCTTTGTGATACAAGTTACTAATGTCCTGTCAGGTGTTGAGAGAGGCAAGCCAAATTCCCACTTGAAAAATAGAAGTCTTTCAGTAATCAAATTTAAATTATACATGCATTTGTATAAAATTATAGCCACATACTTGTTTATTTCAGTGCACTTATCAGTAAGCTCTGTGAAAAGAAAATTACAGAGCAATTTAATGTACTTTATTTGCATAGCAACTGGTTATTCTGAAATACTCAACCAAAGCAAAAAGTATTCCTGGTAAAAGTAACTTCTAAGGAAGAGTGGGCATGAGATGACCTAACAATACACTGAAAATCCCTTTCAGCAGAAATTTTCTGTGCAAGCTAATGACTTATTCATAAATATGTGCTTGAAAAACAAAATCAATCACAAAAAGCTATCAAGAGAAGTGTAAGAAAGTACCTCTCAAGTTTGAGATACCTATATCCTGTGTTGGTTTTTATGAGATGAAAATGTCATATTGACAAGTAACAACAGCTGAAGGCTCCCTCTCTCTGCAGTAATAGCAATGAAGCAACATGCACTTGATTTGGGTCATGGATTTGTAGAGGTGATGAGTGACTGGACCAGCCTCTGACAGATGGCTGATGTGATGTAGAGCACACAGTCAAAATACAGACCATCACCCTTAGGTGATTGATTTCTCCTTTCACCCTAAGCTCCTCAACTTCCTGAATACACAAACCACGTTGCTTATCAGTTTTACTGGAGATGTTTGCTCAGAAAAGAAGCAGGTTTTATTTTTAAATATGCTCTAAATTGAGAAGGGGACTGAAGTGCAGTAGTTTATTCATTTTTCTTTATAAAAAACAATAGAAAATACTGAATTGGAATTGATTTTCCTAAGCACCTATTTTAAGTGAATTTAACAAGATCCCAACTATACATTCATTTTTAAGCCCTGATCTCTGAAGAGCACTGCAAATACTGTGCTGGCTGCTCATTTTACATATTGGGGAGGATTTACAATATAAAATTAAATATGGCTTTTTCTCCCCACTTCCTTTCTGGTTTAGGAAATGTAACCTGAATATTTCTTCAGGAAATATAGTGAGTATTAAGTATTACAGCAAGTCATTCATACCAATTTCACAGGATGAAGTGTGACTTAAGTCCAGTGTGTATCAATTTAAAAAAGGATTTCAAGTATTAATTTCAAGATTCCAATAAGTATAGTCCAAAAAACAGACTCCTCATCCTGAGATTCGTCTTCTGTAGACTGTGAGTATTTCTGGTTTGCCTCCATCTCCTCAGGGTTATAAGAAGCCTCACCAAACGGGTACTGTACAACTGTTCGATCATAGTACACCTTCATTTCAAACTCGCTTTCCAGGTGAGAGGGGTGGCCATAAATCCCTATTCCCACAGGGCGGCGGAAGTGTGCAGGCACGTGGACGATGTCCTGGCCACAGGTCACAGACTGTAGCTCGTACTCATCAAAGCTGGGGTGAAGTGTCACATCAGACACGTACAAGTCTGCATCACCTTTTAAACTCCGCATCTGAAGAACAATCTTTCCTTCATGATTTAGTCTCAAATAGCTGTAGTTTCCTGCTCCAATCTGACCTTGGACAACATGAAGAAGAATCCATTCCTCCGGTACGTCCTCTTCCTCAAAGGCATTTACCACAAATAGTAGTACTTGAGCTGTCACAAATACTGTCAGGATTCTTCTCCAGTGTGTTGCCATGGTCTTCAGTTGTATTTGGATTCTTCCTGTGTCTGTGTGCTACCTTATGAATATAAAACAAAATTCAAATTTTAGTATCTTGGAAGTAATCTATTTTTTTTTTAATTTGGTAATTCTTATAAATCTTCTCTAGTCCATACAAATTTAACTTCAATTGTGTTCATTAACTTGTATTTTTTAATCGTCACAGAAACCAGTGCTAAGATTCAGAACTTTGTCGGAATAAAATGGCTTAAATTTCCAAAAGTTAAATAGAAATGAATTGAGGTAGTAGTCTTTCAACAGAACTGACATAGAGACTTTAGTTTCATTCTACCTGCATGCATATATGCATGCCAAACTTGATAGATACCCAGAAGGGATGAAACCAAATAACGATTTTGGCTTCACTTAAAAAAAACCCCAAAAACTAGTTAAGGAAAGGAAGGCTTTTGCATGCTTTAAGATGCTTAATTTTATATGAGGTGCTTAGGCCATCCTATTTGTTCTCCCATCCTCATCCTCTCAACTTAAAAAGACAGTGAAGGTGCAAATCTGGATGTGTACTTGAAGCAGTAGGCATTCCAGCTTGCATTGGGATGGAGTTGGAAATAAAACCAAATTATCTAATGAGGTAATACATTAATTTATGATCCTGATGTATGGCATGTTTCTATGACCAAATTTGGCACATTTGCCCTGAAAAAAATGCATTTACTTTCCGGAAGATTTTGTTACAGTACAAACACTCAGCTCTTTAAAGCACTTGCATACAAAAGATAAGGCTGAAGGTACCAGGACAAGGGGAAGATGGAAAGGACTGCTGCAAGATCAAGGCTCTTACAGCCTATTCCCTCCTTGCTGCACGCTCCCAGTTGGGCAGCCTGAACACGCCTGCCACACTGCAGCCCTCTGAACAGCTGCACAGTGCAAAGCAGCAACTTCCAAACCTTGCTGAAGGCTTCCAAAGTATACAGCTGACTGAGTTTGACATGCAAAGCACAGGAGCCACAAGCCTGAACACCTTCATGTTTAAGAGGAAGATTCTCAAACCCTCATTCCTTCCATAAAGACACTGCAATTATCTGAAACCAGAAAACTGCCTGTAACTCGTTTTGTACCCTGCTAGCATCAAAACAAACTATATTACCTGCACTGAGATGTCAGTTAAATGTTAGAAGTTCTACAATTGAACAGATCCAGGGGAGAAAAAAAGAGAAAAAAATGCCCAATTGTTTCTGTAGTTCGACGTTTTCTGCCCCAGAGCCTTCTCTACTGGAAGGTCACAATTCTGCAATGACAGCATAAAAGAACGAGGTGCAGCATTCGCTGAACCTGCCAGACTGACAGAACTCCCTCAACAGCCACAGGAAAAAACAGTCTTTTGTCTCGACCGTAGGAGGGAGCTGACTCTCTGTCGCTTGTACATCGAAGTAGTGATGAAAAAGCCGAGCAGAGCCACAGGAGGAGCTCCATATCTGACCAGAAAATAATTAAAGTTACCTAGGAAAGAACGAAAGCGTCGTGGCGCTGGCACAACGCTCGGAAGGAGAAGCGATTCCAAGAGACCTTGGACAGAGCCACGAACGAGCAGCTCTGCCCGCCACGGCTCGCCCCCGCCTCCCCGCAGGCGGGACCCCCGCCGGGGCCGGCAGCGGCGGCGGCCCCGGGGAAGCGGGCGGCTCCGCGCCGCTCCCGCCGGGCGGCCGCGTCGGGCACAGCGTCGCCCCGCCGGCCGGGGGCTGGGGCACGGCTCACCTCCGACCTGCTGCGGGGCTCCGGCTCCGGCAAGGCCGCAGCCACGGAGAGGAAGAGCAGCGGGGACTCCGCGGACGTGCGGCAGGGCAGCGCGGCCGGGACGCCGCGGCAAAGCCCCTCCCCGGGGCGGGCCCGGGGCAGCGCGGCGGCCGAGGGAGGCCGGCGCCGAGCAGCCGGCCCGCGGGGCGGAACGCCGCTCCCCCTGGGGCCCCGGGAACCGCTCGGTGCGCCCGGGCCGGCCCGGCCCGCTGCGGCGCGGGCGGAGTCGCGGAGGGCGGGCGGAGCCGCCACGGCGCCCCCGAACGCCGCCGGTACCGCCGGGCGCTCCCGCCCCGCCCCGGGCACGCCCGCGGCCCCGGTATCGCGAGAGCGCGGAGGGCGAGCGGAGGGGCGGGCGAGCGGAGGGGCGGGCGAGCGGAGGGGCGGGCCTGGGAGGGCGCGGAGAGGCACCGAGCGCGGAGCGGGAAGGGCTCCCTGCGCCGTGAGGAGCACTTCTCACCGCGAAAGCCTGAAATTAGAGAAGCCGTCCTTCAGCTGCACTGAGGATGGATGTGAGGTGTTTGCTGGAGGACAGGTATCCCTCCGTGGGTTGGTGACAGTTTGTTTAACTGTCGCCATAAAGCTGACCTAAGGTCAGAGAACAGAAAAGCAGTACAACAGAGAGTAAATAAACCCAACACTGTTTTTGAATACTCAATGATTTCAGCAGTTAACTTGGCTGAGCTCTTAAAATCATAAGCAAAAGTGAAAGTTTGAAAGTGAAAAATCTGCATGGAGTGCCTTGTGTACTAAGAGTTTCAAGAGAGCCTGTGTATGTCCAAGGGCCCCGTGCTGAGTTAATGTTCTATCTTCAAAGCCCTCTATTTTCATAAATCCATGTAACTTGTTCTTTTCCTTCCTAGCTTAAACAAACTGGCTGCATAAGACTGCTGAATGCAGATTCTGATAAATTTTTGCTTTTTTGAAATCAGTTTTGTTCATATAAAGACTTTTATTCTGCTTAAAACATTAAAATATAGTTGCTAGAGCTCATTTTTAAAGTTCTTCTTATGACTGAGTATTGAGACCACTACAAATAAACTGTTGGACTCAAAAGCATGATATGATAAGGAACTGTTATTTCCAGCAGTCCTTCATTTTCCACATAGATGTCAATTTCAACTAGAGGTGTTGGAGTGAGTCTAGAGAAGGGCAATGGAGCTGGTGAAGGGTCTGGAGCACATGTCCTGTAGGGAGCAGCTGAGGGAGCTGGGGTTATTTATCCTGGAGAAGAGGAGGCTCAGGGGAGACCTTATCAATCTCCACAACCATGTGGAAGGAGGCTGTAGCCAGGTTGGGGTCAATCTTTTCTCCAAGGCAACAAATGGCCGGACAAGAGGAAATGGCCTCAAGATTTGCTGTGGGAAGTATAGGCTAGACACTAGGAAAAATTCTTCACAGAAAGGGTGATTAGACACTGGAATGGGCTGCTCAGGGAGGTGCTGGAGTCACTGTCCCTAGGGGGAAAAAAAAAGTATATACTGTCTAATGAAAGGGTGGATATGGCATTTAGTGCCATGGCCTAGTTGATATGGTGGTGTTAAATCATAGGTTGGACTCAGCAATTTCAGAAGTCTTTTCCAACCTAACTGGTTCTGTGATTCTGTGATTTGAGATAGGTGGGTACCCAAGGTATGGGAATATGTGGAGCCAAGGTCTTTTAGCATTGCATTGCATAGAAAGAGGACATTGTCCAGAGGTGTTTCATGGGGATGTGGTGAGCTATAAAATTCTTCTTGCACATTTACATGTCAATAATGATCAGTCAAGAAATCAGTCCAAGATCTCTGATACTTTGGATTGCTACTAGTTGTTATGGACAGTAGATTGTTGAATGTATAGTAGGTACAAACGTTGAAAGGTGACAATAAAGTCAGGTGAAAATTGTAAAAAAGAGTACTTAACTGCCTAGAAGCAGTTACAGAGACACAACATGTTTCAGAACAAGTTCTTTAAGATTCCCAGGGGTTGTTTGCATGTCAGAACAGCACCTTTTTTGCGGTGTCAGCATTTATTTTTCTTTACCAATGACTAGACTGTCGTAACACATTTATGACTGTATCGCTCATGAAAATTGTCACCAGTATATTAACAATAAAATTTTCTCTAGTATTCCCAGCCATGAGTCACAGTTCAGAAAAATAGTGCCATGTGCGCTGCACTGAGTTGCCTCTGTGCAGCTGGTTCTCAATACAGTGGCTTTATTCAAATTCATATGGACATACTAAAGGGAGTTTTGACTGGTACTTTCTCCAGGCAAAACTAACAAGCACAGGGAGACTACCTTGTGAGTGATAATATATTAGATGCTTATATAGGGCAAAAAATGCTTGTAGTGTTAATTACAGACAGACACAATTAAGACATTGTTGTAGAAAATATATGTTTGAAAAGCCGTTGAGGTTGATATTGACTGATCTGCATCAAAATGGTTTAAGTTGGTGCAGATCGAAAACTTGGTTAAAAAATCATAACTCAGGTTGAAAGGGACTTCTGGTCTCCTCCTGTCCACCTTCCTGTGCAAAACTGTTCTAAATAAATCAGGTTGCTCAGGGCCATGTCCATTGGACTCCTGGTAAACACCAGATATCAACATCCACAATACCTCTTCAGAAACTTGTTCTGATATTCAACCATTGTCATGATATTTTAAAAAATTAAATACTGATTTGTTGTGACCCTAATTGGATTTTCCCAGGATCCAATTTATCACTGAGTACCTCTGAGAAAAGTCTCTCTGTCTTTCCTGTATCCTCCAATTATGTAAGTTGTAGGCAACAATAAAGTCTCAGCTGTCTTTTCTCCAGGCTGAAGAGACCCAGCTCTCTCAGCCTCTCTGTGTACATAATTTTCTCCAGCTCCCTGACCATCTTTCTTGTTCTACACTAGAATTTCTCCAGTATGTCAGGGTCCTTCTTGTACCAGAGCCCCCAAAACGGGATGCAGCACTGCAGGTGTGGCCTTACAGGAGCCAAATAGAGGGGAAGGATCATTCCCACAACTTGCTGGCTATTCTCTATTACTAACACAGTCCAGGATGCAGTTAGCTGCCTCTGCTGCAAGGGCACTGTCATGGCTCATATTCAGCTTGTTCAGCAGGATGTCTGGATCCTTTTCTGAGGCACCCCTTCCCAGTGAACCATCCTTCAGCATTTCATCTTGCATGGAGTTACTCTGTGCCAGATGTGGGATTCCACTTACTCTTGTTGGACTCCACAAAATTCTCATCAGCCTGTTTCTGACTGCTCCCTCCAATTTGGCATCATCCACAAACTTGGGGAAAATAGGTTTGTTTTTCTTCTTGGTGCCTCACCACCTGCATTGTAAAAAATATGCTCCCTCTGTCCAATCCAAATCAACCTCCTCTTGGTTTAATGGTTTTGCCCCTTATCCTGACACTAAAGGTCTTGGTAAAAAGTTTCTCTCTGTCTTTCTTATATGCTTATTTTATATATTCACAGGGTACTATAAGGTGTCCCTAGAGCCTTTTTTCCAGGCTGAAAAAGTTCCACCTGAATATGAGGAAGAATCATCCAGGTGACCATCCACTGGAACAGATTACCCAGAGAGGTTGTGGAGTTTCTCTCAAGATATGGATACGGAAATATTCAAGAATTTTCTGGATGCAATCCTGTGCCATGTGCTTTAGAATGACTCTGCTTGAGCAGGGAGGCTGACCCAGATGATGTACCATGGTCTCTTCCAATCTGGCCCATTCTGACTTTGTGATTCAGTGAAGAACCCAAATCTCTCTTATTGTCTTTACAGGAGAGATGTTCACCCCTTCCTTAAGGTCCCGCTCCAATGTCTGTGTTGTCCTGGGGTCCCCAGCGCTGAGTGCAGTGCTCCAGCTGGTGTCACACGAGTGGGACACGAGTGGGGCACTCCTGGACCTTCTGGCCTTGCTGCTTTCTGTGCAGCCCAGGACACGGCTGTGGAGAGCCAGCAGGCAGCCGGTGGCAGGGCCCGTTGCCCAGCTGAGGGGACAGCGCTGCCGCCGCGGGCCGGCCGCGCTCTGCGGGTGACCGAGGTCTGTCCCGCCCGGCCTCCCGTCAGCGGCGGCGCTGCCCCGGCAACGGGCCGGGACTGGGGCCGGGGCCGGGGCCGGGGCCGGGGCTGGGGCTGGGGCTCTCGGCCCCGTGACCCGCGGGCCCCGCGGTCAGGACGCAGCCGCGGGGAAGGCGGCCCCGGTGGTCCGGCTCCGCCGCGGGGCCGCTCGCAGGATGGAGGGCGCCGGGGCCCGCTGCGGCGCTGGAAGAAGCCGCGGTGCTGACGTGGTCTGCGAAAAACGCGTGTTCAAAGGCAAAGTGCCGGAGCCACTCTTTCAGCTGGCATGCAGTCACCACCACTGTGCTTTCCCTGTCAGTCGCAATGAGTTGTGTGTCTGGAACGCAGCCACTGCTCAGGTAAAGCTAGAATAGAGCCCTTCGTAGGCTGCTACTTTAAACTAATTTATAAATAAAATACTTGAGCGTAATGTGGAAGTGTCAGGTTTCACTTCCATTCTGGAAATGAACATTTGTTATGAATATTTTACTGTGATAAGAATAAAATAAGCTCTTGTGGTGGGCTGGCCTTAGCTGGCAGCTAAACCCAGTCTCCTGCTGACTCCTTCCCAGCAGGATAGGGGAGAGCATAGGATGGGAAAAAGTGAGAAGTCACGGGTAGAGACAAAGGTAGTTTAATGAGTGAAGGGAAGAGAAAGAAAAAAAGCTATACCAAAGCAATCACCATGCCCAACAACCAGAGAAATCTCAGTACAGGCTTTGAGCAACAGCCACCTTAGAGTCAATGTCTCAGGCCTCAACATCTTCTTGCACGCAATATCCCAGTTCTATTGCTGAGCATGACATCATATGGTAGGGAATATCCCTTTGCCAGTTCAGCAAACTGAAATATTTGTTCCAGCTGTGTCCCCTACCAAGTTCTTATGCATCTTTAGCTTGTTATTGGGATGGGGAAACTGAGAAAAAGTGGGAAAAAAGAGAAGGCCGCAGTGCTGTGCAAACAGTATTTGGCAACAGCCAAAACATTGCTGTGTTATCATTGCTGGTTTTGTCACAAAATCCAAAGCACTGTGCCCCACAAGCTGCTATGAAAAAAGTTAACTCTATCTCAGCCAAACCAGTACAGCTACATTGTAGTTTAGGTTATTCTAAAGTTGTAAATAAAAATAAGTTATTGTTCCATTTGTAGCTTTATATTATTCAAAATCTTTGTTTGTTTCTTTAACTCTTCTTTATCTACATTTGTCAGCCATTATATTTGTCAGGGCATCATTACTCAGTTTCTGCACTGTCATTTGGAAGTAAAATCAATCCACTTCTTGTCTGCTCTGCCTCTCATGAATGTGTGATAGTGTGGAATCTTGATGAATGTACACAGAAAGTGCAAGAAGGTACAGTATTTTTTATATAATATATATGTGTCATATATATAAGCAAAGAAGCGATGCAAAGGCAGCCATTCACCACCAATCACTCAGACCAGTGTTCAGCCAGTTTCTGAGCCACAACAACCTTGGAAGGCCATCCCTACACCTCCTTTTCTCCCACTGCTCCTTCTATAGCGAGATTGTTTTATTTCTGAGAAGCATGCCTCAGCCACTCAGATTCAGCAGCGTGAACAGCCGTATTAATGCTGTGTTTCTCTCTTGCTCTTCTCCGGCACTGCCGAGTTGAACCAGGCCGGCAGCACAGCCACTCCGGTCATTGTCACACTGAGCTGGGGCGGGAGCTGGCCGAGGTGCTGTGGGGGAACCAGCGCCGGCCACCTCGGGGCAAACACAGAAAAAGCGCAGCAGAGGTAGTGACGCTCTGCCACTGTGGAGTAAAACGGACAGAAGAAAAATTAATCATAGCAGTACTGCATAATTACACATGCAACACCAAAGTACTTCCTTTTCTGGAATACTTGTGGAACTAGGGTTTCATATTCTGCTTTGCCTCTCCCTCTGCTTCTGGAACATTGTTTTCATGTGTGTGTGCAAGAGAGGCCAATGCAAGTATCTGATTTGGGAGAAGAGTGCATGAGTGAAAGAGCATTGTGGTGACATAACACACAGAGAATAGGAATTTTAGTGTCCTGACCACCATCTTGGTTTGGAGCCTCAACCAATTAGATTCTAGGGAGCAGTGCTAACCTCTCTGCAAGCTTAAATTCATTGGAAAGTAGAAGAATAATAAAAGAAAAAAAAA